TTTTTCTAAATAACATACTCAGTGTATCTCATCATGGGCATCAAGCAATAATTGTGTGGCATGTTCCACTTGGCTGCTAGTACTGTTTCTGCAGCATAACTGGGCCTGCCATCTACTTATGTTAGAAGTTATGTTTTGAGGAGTGTGCAGGGTTGAATTTTCCTCTTAAAAAGAAATATTTACTATGCGAGCATTGAGTGATCACACTTTAGTAGGTAAACGTGAATACAGCAGTCTGACCTACAATAAGGTCATGTCGATTTAGTGATGCAGATTATTGTTTCTGGGCAAAAGCACATAGCATCAGGATTGGAATCAGATTTATTCCAACTAGTACTGACTACAAATAAGCTGTACCAGCAATCAACAGTTAAACTATTAAGGTGAGTCAAAGTCACGCCTTGTACACTGCTGTGGTCAAAATTGTTTTTAAGATCATCACTCCTCCCCCTTGATTCTGCAACGCCTTACACATAGCTTTGAGTATGACGTTCTTTTATAAAGTTCAGGGGAATATGTTAACACATTGACACACAACCACAGGTCAGAATCACCATGTATTTGTGAGTGTATTGTGGATGTCAAAGACAGGGACAACTTTAACTTGTATCATTGCTTACAATGTAAAAAACATTGTCCTGAAATGAACACATTGATTTTTTTTTTTTGTTTACTTTGATTACTGTAAACTGCTGTTTTAGTCAATTTTTATGTTGATATACTACTTTGAGGGCATTTGTGGAGACGAAAACTTTGCAAAAGTCACTGTGATTGAGTCATAAAAATCTCAATGAAATTTTTACTACTACAAAATGTACATGAACATTAATGTAGCAAAGGAGAACTTAATGCAAGTCCAATTAGGTTAAAAGGACATCTTTCTTTCTGTGGCTTAGTATAAACACTGGTGAGATAAAGATTACAGCTTGGTCCTGGCTACATGTATTTAGAGGCTAAAAAAACTTGCCTTATTTCCTGTTCCTGAACAAGCAATTCCCAATGCCATTGCAGCGCCATATCGTACATGAGGATTGTAACTTTCAGATAATAGTGACACAACACTTGGACACTGCTCTGGGGTTCTAGAGAGACATGGAATAAAATATTAAAGATTAATACAATAAAAAGATTATATATGGACATGACAGAAACACTTATTGTACTGTGTAAGCATTCAATTTCACTGAGAAGTGAAATCTGATAAAAGTATTAAAATACATTAGGTGAATTTAAAATGGAGAAATCAAATTCTGGTGAACATCAACATTTACACAGTAATAATTGCATGGATGATATAACTGAATCATTCGATAACATTTTCCACCATGTCACACGTCACTACATACTCAAACACACGCCACACATTTATCACCAGTTTCAACATGCAATCCAGTTCAAACCACCTAATAACCAAGCTACCATGACACATGCATATTTATACAAGCACAATTTGATGTATCCGTTCCTCCTCAGACTATTTACATTCCGGTTTGAAGAGGCACTGTGCAGTAATTACAATCATAACATAAAACACACCAAACCCACATTTACTTAAACTCTCATTCCAAGGGCTTTAGTCAAGCAGCTAGACTGTCCACTCCTTCGTTTATCTTGAACATGTGTGAGGTATGAAATATCGCCAGCACCTACACAGCAAATGCATGGTGAATCACAAATCTCTTTCTCTCATTCAGTTTATATTCATTATCATCTGACCTTATGAACCTTGCACAATTTAGTGCTGGGAGCACTCCTTCTGTCGACGCTTGTATCTTGATAATAAATAGTTGTAGCAAAAGTATACATTTTATTTTAATTAGAGCTTTTACAGTATTTTGTTTTGTTAAAAGTGCCGATTTCTATGCACTAGCTGTTTTTTTCTCTTTTCAAATGATCATTAGGATGTAAGTAATGATTTCAATTGCATGGCAAATGAATTCATAATGACAAGTTTATTAGCAATTTTCTTTCATTATGGTCAGTCTATCACTGCAAATTGTTCTGTCATCTCCTACTGTGATTTTCACTGACTTTAGTGGGCATGATTACACCAAATGTTTTTTTTTTTCTTTTCATACAATTTTTCTGCTTTATTTGTGCTTAAGTTTCAGATTACATATTTTTATGTTAATTTGAAGTATAATTCACATATAATATGAACTACGATTCCCTGCAGAAAATGTCCATTATTCTCCAGATTACTGGAAAGCTACAGGGTTGTAAGTCAATGAATTTTAAAATGGCAGTTGAGTACTGCTGGGAATGGAAATGACACAAAGTGATGCATTGCCTTGTAAGAAACATCTGCCAACAATTCTACATGGAATGGCTTAAACTTATCCTACCCGTCACAGAAAATAATGTTGTAAAGTCGTACACGGTGGAAAGGTTAGGCAGGTTGAAAAGTTGACTGTCACTTCTTACTTAGTTTAGTCAATCTGATGTATTGGTATAATGCTGTTAGGCTCATTGTTATGGTGTAAAGTACACAAAATGCAGATCTATTAGTGAAGAAATGTATACAAATGGAGTATTAATGACTAATTGTACAGAAAAACACTTTTAATCCTATACTTACAGACCTAAGCTGCATATCCAGGCTGTTGAAATTTATGAAAAAACTATTCCCATAAGACAAGATTTTGACCCGTCATTAGCAATACCATATTTGCTCTATTAATAGTGCATATTCTTAAATATACAGCAGAGGTTTATGCAATACCATTATTGCTCTATTAGTAGTGCATATTTTTAAATAAACAGCAGGGGTTTGGGAAATACCATATTGGCTCTATATTAGTAGCGCATATTTTTAAATAAACAGCAGACGTTTGTGCAATACCATATTTGCTCTATTAGTAGTGTATATCCTTAAACAAACAGCAGGGGTTTGAGCAATACCATATTTGCTCTATTAGTAGTGCATATTCTTAAATAAACAGCAGGGGTTTGAGCAATACCATATTTGCTCTATTAGTAGTGCATATTCTTAAATAAACAGCAGGGGTTTGAGCAATACCATATTTTCTCTATTAGTAGTGCATATTCTTAAATAAATGGTAGGGGTTTGCATATGGTGATACTAAATACACCCAGTCAGTTGAGGCATACAAGTGCTACCTTTAATAAATGTGATTAATTTACTAATATTGCCTATATGGTGACCACCATCTTAAAGAAGCTAGCATAACAAGCCAAATAAATTGCTTGGCAGTGAAAATTTAGTATTTTTTCTTCTTCTTTAAAAGATTCACAATACAATAAATGCAATGTTTGGTTTATGGGGGCTTATATAGTAGAGATACAGTTCTAGTAGAGTAAATACAAAATGGTAGTTCACTCAAAATTTCAAATCACAGTTCACTGGAAAGACAGAGCCCAGCTTATATCAATTATAATACTGTGTGATGCCCATTATTGAAATGCCACAATTCGCATTAGAAAATGGATACCCTGTGCAGACAATAAACGGGGCAGCGCTGGATGCCCAAAAGTATAAACACGACAGTGTGTATCTCATATCCAATGTTTCCCCACATTTGTACAGAATTAACAAACCCACCACGCTTATTTCATATTATTTCCTTACAAAACTGCCAGTTTCATCTTTTTCGAACTACTACAGCATGCAAATTCAATTTTTGACATTATGTTGTATTATAATTGAAATAAAGGACTCCACACTGCCAATTACTGGTATGACGTGTTATGAATCACCACTATCAGAATTGAAGGTTTTATGACGTCATAGCTTTAATGTAATCAATGTAAACGATAATGTAAATGATAATTGCAAGTAAATTCAACAAAAAAATGGAAATTTAACTAAATTTGTTTTATAATTCTGATGGTGGGGATTTATAACAATAAAGAATGAATTCCACACATCCCCATCCTTGCTCTGCTATTATGCCATAATACGCAATGCATTGTCTTTTATGCCATATACAAAACACTTTTTTTTTCTGTTTTTTTATTGTTTTTCACAGGGCTGCTCCTGCATGTCCTAATAAATTAAAATGCATTTACTCTCTTAAAACTGTGGAATTAAATGTTCTCAACTGTACTGTAATAATGACCAAGCAAGGTAGGGTGAATGACTTGCTGGCTATAGAACCCTGCTCTTTTTCATCAATTGATCAATTATCTGTGTTGTATCAAGGGCATGAAAGGATTAAATATCTCCAGTATCACAGCTGGTAGGATAACAATAGTTTTAGTCTACTAATTACTCAATTTTTTATTATACATCCTATCTAAAAATTCTACAAATGATGCAAATGAAAATTTCAATGACACTGAAATGTAATTTTAATAAATGCAATCAGATTAGACACAATACATAATATCAAATGATTACTTATAATAACAAAACATGAATTTCAGTCCCTGTATTTAAAAGTATTCAAGAAATGAGATACTTGTTATTATATATCTAACTACATTTATACAGCATGCTCGGGTAGACCCATTAAAAACTCTAAAGGGGGTATGGTGGCAGAAAACACTATACAAAATATTTTGTACCTTCACTTATGTATTGGGACATTTTCTTTCATGATGAATTTCTGTTTAGGCATTTTTAAAGTGCTTTCGGTAGCAAAATGACAGCAATTGCAATTTCCTAAAAAAAAACACCTGTTAACTGAATATAGAGTTAGAATTTGGGCAGGGTTTTGCAAAAATGGGCATGGTTTTTAAAACTTTTGTAAATCAATGTTTTTGACAATTCAGCATCTTCAACTAAAATGATGATAATACATTTATACCTTATTTGCTCTATTAGAAATGCATACAAGTGCATATAAACCAAAACCATATAAAAAAAAAATTACAAGTGTATCAAAATTGTCATATTTTAATGATCCATTATGCAATTAATGCAATTTTCAGTTGTGGTATGCTATTGGAGATGTCCTAAAACAGAGTAAATATAGAATTGAACACTAGATCATTGAAATGTATTACTTTGAAGATAGACTCACCTGTGATTTACATACATGTATGAGCTTTTAATAGAGTAAATATGGTAAAAATGAGATCAATGCCAAACGAAATGTATATGTGTGTACATACATACATAACATGATGCACACAGAGACACACACCACAAACACAGTTGAGTGATGAACACAGCATTTTTGTTCAATTTAGTATTTTAATAATCATATAAATATGAATATGAATATAATAAGAGAGCTATGCTGTTTCAACATTCATAATACTGTAAAATACTTTACGTTCACTTGGAATTAATTTTTGCTATTTTTGCTGAAGGAATGTTTCAGTGACAATAAAATCCAGTGAATATACCTTTTCTCCTCTATTTTACATTCAGCTCATCAAAATGAATGAAAATAAATTCCATACAAAACACCCAAATATTGTTTGTCAGCGAAAACTAATCAAAGCTGAAATAAAGTATTTTACGGTATTACAGGTATGTTAATTTGTATATCAATATTGCTTACAATTCAATCCTTCATGCAATGTGATATGTACTGCAAGCAGCTAGACAAGCCACACTAATATCAACTGAACGGTTCAATTCCATGGTATAACACTTGACTGACGGGTGGCTCAATTCTATTATTTTTTGTGATTAGTTCCCTGACATTTGAATATCAAGGAGAGCAATATCACTGAAGGTTAATCATTACTTTACAATATATATTAATGTGATTATGCTATTATGAGACACGATAAGAAAATATTCTTCACACACGATGAATGCAGGACCTGTGCACATCCAAAACTTTAAATTAAATGGTATGGAGAGTTGTAACGTCTCAATGAATTAGCAAAGAATACCACCAAAAACAAGAAAATTATTCCCATATTATTTACTCAAGAAATATATCCTTGAAAATTAGATGCTATCCTTCTACTGAACTTTGGATTTCTATGAAAAGTAGTATGCGAGTACCATAATATGCACAAGAAAATTCCAAGATCAGTACCATGACACTCGTAGTAAAACATTAAGATTAGGAATTATATATAATGTACCGGTACATGTACCTGTCATTTACACAGATCTACAAACTCACACAGAACTCAACTTCCTTTTTTTCAATGAGGC